TTATAAGTGACATCACACCAATACGGGTAAGCACGTGTTGCCTCGACAGACCCTCGCGTGGAACACCATCTGCAAAGGTCTCCGCTCCATCAGCTCCCGGCTCACAAAGGTGCCGCATGAACAGAGACACATAGGCCCTGCAAACACGTGTGAGGATGAAGGTAGAAGGATATCACCGTAAATACATTTGGAAAATGTTAAAAATCTCTGAGCCGGTCAAACACTACACAGAAAGGCACAAAGCAAATACACAGCAAATCAAACTAAATGATAAATAAGATTCATAACCGCTAAAAGGTTGGGGCTTCTAGAGCTAAGGACCCCGACAAGTAACCTGTGACGCTACTTGGGGTTGGATATAGTTTGACATTTTTTGATTATATTGGCAGTACAATGTTTTTTCCATACTATACTTTATATAATCCATATTGTTTAAACATGAGAAACCACACAATCACTTCGTCTACATTAAATTAAAGGCAAAAATTTGGTTTAAATCAGGAACTCTTTGATCAAACATTGAGTAAAAAAGATGATCTGATCTGACATTTGATGTTTTTGAAAAGTTTTTGATATTCTGTGCTACAGACACATTTTATAAAATAACAACAAAAAAGCATTGAGGTTCAGTATCCAAGCAAGCAGAAAAATGTCAAAGAGACTCACTTAAATTCTTTCTCAGACTTTCCTCGGAGGTCCCTAACCAGCCATTGGTTGGTGAAAGCATCCTGTGGAGGCATCCCATAACGCATCACTGCATTCAGGAAAGCCTTCCTTTGTCGTGCATTGAAGCCCAAAACCTGACAGAAAGACAAAAAAAGGTCAAGATGTTTGCAAACTGAATGCTTAAAAGAAATAACAGAAGTAAAGAAGCCACTTTCGAGGCGTTTATCCTTGTTTCGCTTCTTGTGCTGACTAATTCTTCATCTGTAGGAGCTCACCTCGATGTTCCCGCCCACTCTTGCCAACAGCGGAGGCAGAGGTTTGTCCCGATCGTTCCTCAGCCCTTTACGGTTCGGTCTGCGGGCATTCGCTAAAAACAAAATGAACACGGTTAGACTATCTGAGATTCAGTGCATGATTCTAGGCAGTCACATTTCACTGAAGCCATAAAAGTAAAAAAAAAAAATCAAAGTTAATTTTGATGTATCGTCATGTGTGTTCTTAATGTCCTAAAGCTGCTCTGTGAAGACGTTCCACTTACGGCTCATCATGGCACACTCTGATCCTGCTGAAGCTCTCCCTCCTCACAATCTCTTCGCACTTCTACATTAAATGCTTCTTCTTGAAGCATAAATCTTTCAGAGCATTTACAACTGAAAGCAGCATTTTGGTAGATTTCATTTAATGAAACTGAAGTAACAGAGCCATAATTAAATAAAACAAAAATACAATCAATACAAAACATGTACACTGTTTTGTCCTTATAAATGAATTGCAGAAGTAATTACATTTATATCAACTTATAGAAACTGTATAAATATAAGAGAACATTTTGTTCTGCAACAATCCTTAAACAAACCGTTTTAAGTGCAATTCAAAACAACTTAAAACATAATATGAACACAAACAATGTCTTTAAAGTGCAGTTGAGAGTTCAGCTAGCTGAGAAACCATTGATTTAAACTGTCTTTCCCTGGGTCTTTGCTTTTAACCTTCTCTTTTCTTCCCTTTTCTTTCTGCTCGCTCAATGCAGAAAATGCAGGAACAAATGCCTTTTCGTGAGTTGTTGTTGAGGTTGTCAATGAGGATATCATAGCTGTCGTCTGAATCTGAATAAGCATCTGCAGAGGTGGTTTGAAGGATGTTAGTGGATGAAAGAACTGGGGCTCAAACAGTAGAGATTTCCTTATTAACAGGAAGTTCTACCACCATGTCTCAAGCTTTGCTGGGAACAAAATCTTAAGTCAAGACACTACAGGTTTTTTTTTTTTTGATGAACTGGTCAATTGTGAGATTTTGGGAATAATTTAGAAGAAAAATTAGGATTAAACATAAAACTTATATATAATACAAAAAAGAATTGTCTTAATGTAAGTCATCAACTGTGAAGGTTTCATGATGATATAAGTTTGACATATTTACCGTATTCACCTGTAGTGTCTGACCTTACACTCAAATACATCTTAGTGACTAACTTCAAACAACTTAAATGCAATGTGTATATCTTCATATAAAATGTTAAGAGTGCATGCATTCACAGTCTTTATTATAAACAGCAAGCCTTACCTTCACTCCGTTCATCAAAGTCCTCGTCGCCCTCCTCCGAGGCCACCGAGTAGTCCGACTGGTTATCAGACTGATCCTCCTGCCAGTCTAAAGGGAGCACAGACAGAGAAATGTGTCTTTACTGCCGGGACATAATCTTATTGATAGATGACATAAAGTAAATTCAAACTCCCTCGTGCAGTCCCATTAAACGTCAACCCAGCTTTTAGCCAGCAGGGGGAGCCAACACATCAGAACCACATTTTTACTAAATATTCCTAAATCAACAAGAGAAAAGTTTTATCATAACTCTAGATTAGTAAGGCAGACCCAACTCTTTACTTATATTACTTCAATTAAACTTGTTTATCTCATTTGGTTTTAACCACAGCAAGTTAGTTTGTGTGGGTTCACTGCTTACAAATAAACCACAGCATGAGAACAAATTCAAGTCACAACATTCAACATAATTTACATAACACAGTTTCTGAGTTCTTTCTTTACAGTTTATGATTTAATCTTTTTGACTTTCAAATAAGGAGCTGTTTATTTATTTTCAGTTCCCATTAATAATTTTGTCTGCACATTTCTTTTAACAGTCTGCTGCTGCTGTCCTTGTAATCCTGCATTCCCTTTGCACAAATAAGTTTAAATCTAGTCTTGTTAAAAGCCCAAAGGCTTCATTTATTTCAAATGCAACGGCTGGTTGTTTTAGGCTAAAAAAACAGTCCCTTTCTGTCAGCTTGTATATCATTATGTTTTTTGTTGTCAATCAAACACACATTTAAAGCTTAATACTTGCAAGTGAATCACCAAATCTCTATACCCAACTAGTGGTGACTTTCTTTCTATCTTGTGAAATTTGCTACTGCTCCCTGTTGTTCTGGATGGCAACAATCAAACAGGCTAAGCCAACAGTTTTACTAAATTAGAAATACCTCTTTGGGGTCATTTTCTCGATTACATTTCAAACAGAACCTCAACCCACAATTTCAGTCTTATTCTGGTTATTTTTTGGTGCATGCATCTCATAAAGCAGGATTATAAATTCAGCTGGATAAAACAGCCAAACAGCCCTTTCTATACCCAAATTCAAAACAAAAATAAAACTTGATGCCTTGCACTCACTGGCTCTCCTACAATATTACACCAACATCACACAACACACAAGTCCACCAACAGCACTGCACAGCACGCACACACGAGAAGAGGTTGCATTATATGTTGTTCTGTACCCTGTCTTATACCTCGGTCCTCCTGGGAGCCGTCATTGTAGTTGACTGGCTTTCGAGTTCTTTTGCCTTTGCCCAGATTTCGGGCGAGATCCTCTTGCTGCTGCTCGTAGTGGTGACGCAGCAGCTTCTCCCAGTAATCGGGATCAACACTTTCCTCTTGCTTGATCACCTCCCGTTCCACCTCCTCCTCCTCAAACAAAGACAAACCAAAGGATTAATTCATTCATATTAATTTAATAATAATGATTAAACTATAATATTAAAGAGTAATGTAAGATGTAGGTCTATTTCTGAAGCTGCACCAAAGACTACTACAGATACCCCCTATCTTAATTTACTTATATTAAGTTACACATTCGTACCTCATCGTCTTCATCTTTGACCACATACTGGGCCACTTTAAAGGAGCTAAGGTATTCGTTCATGCTCTGCAGCTCAGTGTCATCTGTGGCATCCTGGTTCCTGTCTAGCAAACGGTCAATTGCGTGGTCATCGTAGTGAATCACACTGCTGTCATCCTCCTTGCTGTCCCCTGAAAGCAGGATAAGTCAAATAAAAAGGAAGGAAGCATAGACTACATTTACTACCTGTAACATCTGAGAGACCCGACATCAGGCATACCAGTGGTGGAGAGATCTTTCCACCTCAGTCTCCTTAAACCTCCTCCAAAACAAAAGCATAACAATGTGCAGTGTTAAAATTTTAATGTTTGAGAACTGTCTATAGTAAAATGCACATGAACATACAAGTAAAAAATTATGCATCCGGCAGTGGATTTAAGACGTCTCACCTTCTCCGATTTCATCCTTGAACAACTCTTCAGTTCCAAACTTGAGGATGTCATCAAGCTCCTGCTTGGACATGGAGCCTGTCTTGGAGCCGAGACCGGGTCGCACCACCAGATGGGTGAGCATCATCTTCTTCTTTGCCACCTGGTAGAGGGAAGTAGGTGGAGGACAAACAAAACGGTGAAGCAGGGAATCAAAGAATCCTGACATAGTCCATGTGTAATTTCTTTCCACGGACCTGCGTGATCCTCTCCTCCACAGAGGCTTTGGTAACGAAGCGATAAATCATCACTTTCCTGTTCTGGCCAATACGGTGAGCTCTGCTGAATGCCTACAAAACACACACATGAAAGACACAACATAATCACCTGTCATCCAAATAACCACATACTGACGTGGCCATGAGGTGTTTGGTTTGCATACCTGGATGTCATTGTGGGGGTTCCAGTCAGAGTCGTAGATAATGACTGTGTCAGCAGAGGCGAGATTGATGCCCAAACCACCAGCCCTGGTCGAGAGGAGGAAAGCAAACTGGGGAGCACCGGGAGCTGTGGGTGAACGACAAAAACAGAAACATAGAGAGACAGAAAGTTAGAACACTGACAGCACACCATATCAGCTGTTTTGAGGCAATACAAACAGTGTATGCAAATGGCTCACCATTAAAGCGGTCGATGGCTTCCTGTCTCAAGTTTCCAGTGACTCCTCCATCAATTCTCTCATATTTGTATCCCTCGTTCTCCAGGAAGTCCTCCAGCAGGTCCAGCATTTTGGTCATCTGGGAGAAGACCAGAACCCTGTGGCCGCCCTCCTTCAGCTTCCTCATCATCTTCTGAAGCAGCATCAGTTTTCCTGAGGACTTTGTCAGAGCATTGCCCTCATACATGCCATTAGGTAGTTTTGGTGCCTCCTGTAGTCCAGAGAATAAATCTGAATAAACTGACTGCATGTTTTAATACATAGACATAGTTTAGTGCATGCACCCCCAGACGTAACAATGTGAACACATACTGTGGCAGCTGCAGGAAAGAGGTAGGGGTGATTGCAGCACTTTTTCAGGTCCATCACCACATTAAGCAGGGAGACTTGGTTTCCTCCTCCACGAGTGTTCAGGGCCTCAAAGTTACGTGTTAGGATGAACTTGTAGTATTTCCTGGGTTATAACAAAGAAACAATGTAAAAAAATAAAATAAAGAGAAGAAGAAATTCAGAGGTCAGACAAATGGAAATATATTATACAGGTGTTCAGAATTCAGATTGTATACCGTCCACTATCCAGACATTTGTTATAGGTTTTTATACTCAAACAACTGTTAAAAGATATTGCTACACATCTTGTCTCTCAACTTACTTCTGCATGGGGCTCAGCTCCACTCTAACAATGAGCTCGGTCTTTGAAGGCATGTGTTTGAATACATCAGCCTTCAGCCTCCTGAGCATGTGTGGTCCCAGCATGTCATGGAGCTTCTTGATCTGGTCCTCTTTGGCAATGTCTGCAAACTCCTCCAGAAACCCTTCTAGGTTGCTGAAAAAAAGAATATGTACATAAATATAGATAAAAATAGAGTCAGTGTGGGTTTCGTTGTTGTATATGCAATACAGCTGTATATGTGGCCCCAGCTACTGACTTGAATCTCTCTGGGGTCAGGAAGTTCAGCAAGTGGAAGAGCTCCTCCAGGTTGTTCTGAAGAGGAGTACCAGTTAGCAGCAGCTTGTGTTGCAGCGGGTAGTTGTTCAACACTCTGAAAAACTAGTAACAGGCAAGGAGAAAGGCAAAATTAATCAGAATTAGATTTTAAACACAATAAACAAACACTTGTACAAAAGTTCTTTATGTTATTACCTTGGACTGGTTGTTTTTGAGCCTGTGAGCCTCGTCCACAACCAGACAGGCCCATTCAATGGACCCCAGCACAGCCTGGTCAATGGTAATCAACTCATACGATGTCAGCAGGACGTGGAACTTGACTGGTGAGTCTTTCTGTAAAGCACAGAGAGGGACAGGGACATTAGTTAAGCTGCCAGGCAAAGAAGTAGAAACACAATAATTAGGGCTCCAAGCAATTGTTTCCAGTCGTAATATAGTGCCACAAACTAACTGTTGAACCTTTGTATAATTTGGCATCATTAATATTTTTGTAATGTAAATTACAACCAACAGTAGCAATTAATTTCCTATCAAAGTTCTTAAATACCCTCATGTGGTATCATCCCTCCTTTTCTTTTGTTTACTTTTTCCTTACCTTCATCTTAGATGCTTTTTTCCCACCTCGGATTGCATTTCCTTCAAAGGAAAACTCGTTCTCTCTGATGACAGCCCTGCTGTCTTTGTCCCCTATGTAGGTCACCACGTACATGTCAGGGGCCCACATCTCAAACTCTCTCTCCCAATTAATGATGGTGGACAGGGGAGCACTAACTAGGAAGGGACCTTTGGAGTGACCCTGTAACAGTGAAAGACAAAGTCAGCATTAACATGTCAAGATGTTATTCATATAGTTGCATTTATAAAGCGCTTTTATTCAAAGAGCTGTACAGGGGCTGGCCTGTGCACGAGGAGAAAATCCTTCAGCACTCAAACTGCCAACTCTGTGATCAGCAAACAACCCGCTCTACCTCCTGAGCCAAAGTCGTAGATAATTTGATCAACTACAAGATATGTAAAAAATAGAGAAGAAGAAGAAACTCCAGACAGTTAAATTGCACTACAAATATGTGAAGATTATGTAAAATAGTCTGAGCAATAAAGGAATCTTTTTCTTCAATCAAATTTTGTTCAAAATAAATCACGAGAAACTCATATTGTGAGTTTGTATACAATTGTAATGAATTGTGATTTTAAAGTAATTTTATACTGGATGAATGTGCTGATATTTATATGTTGATGTGTGCCTGTAGATTTGCTTGTATAATGGGTAATGTGATATGTGAGACTATGTAATGGTGTAGCATGTACATGAATGGTTTTAATGCCCAAGGACTGCAAATGGAAATTAGCTTAAAGCTAAATCTGGCATAAATCATCTCGTCATTATGAGATTAATGTTTTTGTGCACAGTGCTTGTTTAATAAAGACTAATAATAGTAATAATAATTGGATCGAATCATGAGTTGTTACATCCCTAATAAACAACTATATTTGTCTTGCCCTGCCTTTAGGATAGAGCTCCTTACTTAGAACTCATCCCCTTTGATGGACAGAGTTGCTGTGCGTCACATGTCTGAAACCCCACCCACTAACACTGATTGACAGGGGAGGGCAGACTGGACAAAATAGCATCAGGAACCTGCAGGAAATGCATTTTATTTCATTTCAACATTTAACATAAGTAGGCTTAAAGGAAGATGTAGCCTTATAAATTACACAAAACATAACACTGCCTCAAGAATCCAATGACAAATAAAACTGCTTAAAATTACTGCAATTAAATTCACTGTTCTTACCTCCTTGTACAATGAGTAGAGGAAGACAGCCGTCTGCACAGTCTTGCCTAAACCCATCTCATCAGCCAGAATCGTGTCTGTGGCCTGAGCCCAAGAAAACCTCAGCCAGTTCAACCCCTCCAGCTGGTATGGATGCAGAGTGCCTCCTGTGCTGTCCAGGTAGTCAGGCTGCCGATCAAACTTGATGGTGGGCTGGAAGGAAGGAACCGAGAAGAATATAAATTCTGCATCTGTCATGATTTAGGCTACTTTTATTCTGCCAAGGGAATATACTTGACAGCAATGCTTAATTTTATCATTAATAATCCATTAGTCCAAAAAAAAAAGATATTTGGCAGCATGAGTTTCACAGTAACTAAAGCTATGTTTGAAAATAAGCTTTTTTAGGTTCAAAGTTTTAAAATACTTACATCTACAACTGGATTAGCAGGTGGTCGCTCTGCCTTCTTGACTTTGACTGCTTTCTTCAGCTTCTTACCAGGCCTGCCCTCCTCACCCACCATCAGCTCCCTTAAACAAAATGACAGTTTGTGAGATGAAACATACTTTCAACTCTCATGCCATGAGAGAGGAAATTTTTGATATTTTGTAAATCTCTGCATACCTGTGATTCCAGTATGTCTGTTTGTAGGTGTCAAACTCTGGGATGTCCATGTCTTCACTCTCCCAGGTTGACTGGTCATAGGGCAGATCTCTCCATTTGATCAAGTAATGTACATTGTTCTTTTTATCGACACTGACATACAAGACATACAAAGAAGATGGAGTTATGATAAAGCACCATTACTGTGTGTGTGTAGGTGTGTACAACTGTGTATTACAGATAATACAGATATTACAATATTTCCTATGGCGTTAAATTACATTGCAATGTATTTTGTAGTGTAACTCTCACTATTTTGTTGAGATTTAGTTTCTCATTTGTAAGAGTTATGTTAAGCCATAACACTGTAGTTGCTGCCCTACAGCAATGCACTTCACAACCACAAAGAATATAATTCATAATCACTTTTAAAAGGGCAATTTTAAGACTAAAATACTAGTTCAGTCTGATTCTTTCACACCCTCAGAGCAAATTATATTTACTGTATGCTTATTTTTAAAGGTGAACTGCGTATTTATAACATTTGACGTGTCCCACCTGTGGTTGAGGATGCGGTGGATCATCAGCCACTCCATCTTGACTCCATAGCGGTAAAACTCCTCTTCCATATGGACAAAGAGAGGATCTTTGTTCTTCCTCTTGGTGCTTTTATCATCATCACCTTCACCTCCAAAATCCACAGGAGGCGGTTCGTCCATGTCAGTCTTCCTCTGGTAGTTACGGAACATCACCTGGCAGTTCAGCTCCAACTGAGGTCGAGCGGCAAGGAGGGAGAGAAAGGACCATTAGGTTTGTGTGTGTCTTGTGAGGGAAGTGCACAGAAAAATCACTGTATCCACTACAGGTGGATACAGTTTCAGACAGTGTGTGGTACCTGTAGCTCCAGCACCCAGGAGCAGTGCCAGTAGGACAAATTGCACCATTTCACAAAAAACTCCCTCTCCCTGCGGCCCGCCAGCGGCGGGGGATCAGGGGCATCAGGAGAGAGATCAGCAGGCCGAGGGACAGGCGTGGGAGCTGGCGGCTCCCCCCATCGCCATGTTAAAACCTTCTGGACTTTGCCCTTCATCTGTGGACACTGTCAGGAAGTGGGAGAGGAGAGGAATAATTTAGCATAGGCATATCATAGCATATCCTTGTCAGTTAGAAGAAGTAATTTTCCACTGATAAGAAAATCTGTTTCTAAAAATAATATAAGTAGTGATTTTTTTTAGGACAGGAGAAATCAGAAAAATTAAAAACTAAAAGAATGATTTATCTAAAATAATGCACAAGATGGCATCTTCATCCCAACACACGCCCACGTGAGCACATGCACGCGCAGACTCTTATGCACCAGTGCACAGCGCTCACCTTGCAGCGGGGGCAGATCCATTCTCCATTGGGGATTTCAGGGAGAGGAGGGTTGAGGCAGTGGATGTGGTAGGAGGAGGGGCAGGTGTCACAGCAAAGCAGCTCCCCTCCATCCTTGCACACACGGCAGAACTCAATGTGGTGGTCGTCTTCTCCCTCCTGTCTTCATCCCTCCTGTCTTCCTCATCCTCCCCTTCGGCCTCAGAGAGCTCATCCCTGGCCTCCCACTGGATCCCCTCCTTCTCCTGGTGGCAGAATTACAGACACAGGGAGGAGGTGTGTGTGTGTGTG